TCGAAAAACAGTAATTACATTTATTCATCATCGACGTTCAATCATGTTAGTAACCATTTGAATTTTTTTTAATAATCTAAAAGTCATAATAATAATGATGCTCATAACACAAAACATAATATCTCTCGAAATAAAAAAAAAAGTAATTAAAGATATTTATTATTAACATACAACCGTGATGTAACCAATCTCTTTCTCTTTCTTTTTCTTTTTCTTTTCCCTTTCTCTCTTTCCCCCTTTTTCTCTTTCTCTTTTTCTTTTTCTTTCTCTCTCTCTTTCTTTCTCACACTTTTTACTTTCTTTCTTTCTTTCTCTCTCTCTCTCTCTCTAAAGATAGATAGATAGATAGAGAGAGAGAGAGAGAGAGAGAGAGAGAGAGAGAGAGAGAGAGAGAGAAAGAGGGAGAGAGAGTGTGAGTGTGAGTGCGATTGAGAATGTGAGTATGCATATTCATATACTCGTAAATATGTGTATATATAGTTCACAACGTGTCCTGCGGGACACGGCCATGCACCTTTTTTACTTCTCTGTAAAATTGTTTGTCGTCCACTATACGTAATAAATTTATCAAATAAAAATTTATCTATCTGTCTGTCTCTCTCTCTCTCTCTCTCTCTCTCTCTCTCTCTCTCTCTCTCTCTCTCTCTCTCTCTCTCTCTCTCTCTCTCTCTCTCTCTCTCTCTTTCTTTTTTCTTTCTTTCTTTCTTGCCCTTTCTCTCTTTCAATAAGAACGACAAATAAAAAAATGAACAAATAAAACAACATTCAACGCTCACACCAACCTTCTTCCTCTCCAAAATCGTCGACCTCCTTCGTCTCCGCGTGGAACCTGAGGCCATCGCGAGACGAGGTCACGACGGTGAAGTGGCCGGGGTCAGGAAGGGTCAGCCGGCCGGGGAGGTCACACCCGCGGGCAGAGCAGACGCACACCACGCTATCCTGGCCGAAGTTGCGGGCGTTGCAGGGGGCACCGGATCCTGGAGGGAGAGGGGAAAGGGTGAGGGTAAAGGGGAAGAAGGGAAAGGGGGGGAGATGGTGGGGGTGATGGGGAGGTGGTGGATGGTGGGGGTGAAAGTGTGGTGAGGGGGGGGGAAGGTGTGGAGGAGGGGGAGGGGCAGGGGTGATGGTGATGGGGGTGAAAGTGTGGTGAAGGGGTGAGGGAAAGGAGGAAGGGGAGATGGTGGAGGTGAAGGGGAGGTGGGGGTGAAAGAGTGGTAGGGGGAGGGGGAGGGATGAAGGTGTGGTAAGGGGGTGATGGAAAGGGAGAAGGGGAGGTGGTGGGGGTGTGGGTGAAGGTGAAGGTGAGGGTGAGGGTGAGGGTGAGGGAGAGGGGTGATAGTGACAGTGAAGGTGTGGTAGGGGGGAAGGGTGGTGGTGGGAGTGAAGATATAGGAGGAGGGGAGGGTTAGGGGGGTGGGGGAAGGGGTGGTTGTGGGGATGAAGGGGTTTGAAGGGGGTGATGGGGAGGGGCAGGGGTGGTGGTGATGGTGTGGGAGGGGGGTAAGGGGAAGGGCGGGGGTGAGGATAAAGTTATTGATGATTATGAGAAGGAGGAAGAGGAGGAGGAGAAAATTAATGAACTGATATTGACGATGGTGATGATGAAGAAGAAAAAAATGAAAGTACTGACCATAAGGAGGAGGAGGAGGAGGAGGAGGAGGAGGAGGAAGAGGGGAGGAGGAGGAGGAGGAGGAAGAGGGAGGAAGAGGAGGAGGAAGAGGAGGAGGAGGAGGAGGAGGAGGAGGAAGATGATGATGATGATGATGATGATGATGATGATGAGGAGGAGGAGGAGGAGGAGGAAGATGAGTAGGAGGAGTTGGAGGAGGAGGAGGAGGAGGAGGAGGAGGAGGAAGAGGAAGAGGAAGAGGAAGAGGAAGAGGAGGAGGAAGATGAGGAGGAGGAGGAAGAGGAGGAGGAAGAGGAGGAGGAGGAGGAGGAGGAGGAAGAGGAGGAAGAGGAGGAAGAGGAGGAGGAAGAGGAGGAGGAGGAGGAAGAGGAGGAGGAAGAGGAGGAGGAGGAGGAAGATGATGATGATGATGATGAGGAGGAGGAGGAGGAGGAGGAGGAAGAAGAGGAGGAGGAAGATGAGTAGGAGGAGTTGGAGGAGGAGGAGGAGGAGGAGGAGGAGGAAGAGAAAGAGGAAGAGGAAGAGGAAGAGGAGGAGGAAGAGGAGGAGGAGGAAGATGAGGAGGAGGAGGAGGAAGAGGAGGAGGAAGAGGAGGAGGAGGAGGAGGAGGAGGAGGAGGAGGAGGAGGAGGAGGAGGAGGAGGAGGAGGAGGAGGAGGAGGAGAAGAAGAAGAAGAAGAAGAAGAAGAAGAAGGAGAGGATAAATGGTGAAGAACCCAAATATGAAAATGAATATACCGAGGAAGAAGAGAAAAGGGGAAAAAAAATGATAATGACGATTAATTGAAGACCATAATTTGATAAAGCTAATGGTGATGAAGTGAGTGGATAATGATGGAAGAGGAGGAAAATAAAGATAACGATGAGGATAAAAGAAGAGGAAAATAAAGATAATGATGATAAAGAAGAGGAATATAAAAATAATGATGATAAAGAAAGGAAAATGAAGGTGATAGTGATAAAGAGAAGACGATGATGATGAAGACGATTTAAACGAAGGGGATAATGAGGAATAATGATGAAAAAATGGAACAGCACGGAATAATGATAATTCAAAATTTAAAAGAAAAAAATAATAATTGTAATAAAAAGAGAGATATGCTGGTAATGGCGGAATTAGAAATATGATGACGTAAAACGAAATGAAAGATCATGAAGAAAACAAAAAAAAAAAAAAATGCGATGAAAGGAAAAGCGGAAGACGACAAAAAGGTAAAACGAGAGAGAGAGAAAAAAATGATGATGACAGGGGAAGAGGAAGATGTGAAATAAAACAGGAAAAAAATAGTTAGAAAAAATGATGATGAAAGAAAAAGAAGAGAAAGACTATGAGTAAAAAGACGATAATGAAAATAAAACACAAGGAAAACGAGGTTAAATTAGATTTTAAAAATTATGAAAGTAAAGAGAGGGAGAAAAAAAAAGAATGAAATGATGATGAAAAAGAAAGGAGGAGGAGGAGGAGGAGGAGGAGACGAAGAGGTAATCAAAGTTCATTTTCACTCTCATCGGCGCAATCAAACGGCCAAAGTTCCTAATGCCATTACTTTTTTTTTCTTCTTTTTTTTTAAGCTTTTACTGTAGTCAATTTGGATTTTCGCAGTCACCGAAGTCGTTAAAATTCTTAACGTCTTCAAAAGTTATCAAAAGCTGTAATAAGTCTTTCCAGCTTACAAAATCTTTAGGAGTCTCCCCTCAAAAAAATCTGCGAAAATATTTTAAGAACCAAATGACTGAGAACTGATATTCATTATAGGAATGTTTATGTATATTTTTTCATATTTGACATTTTGATTGGTAATAAAATGTAATCAGTTTAATTGATATTACATTAGTCGAAATTCCATTTACTAAATAGAGAGTCTGCCATGAATCAGTCAACGAACTGTGCTATTTTGTTAGAAAATAAAATAATATTGATAGATATTTAGTAAAATACAACAATTTCTATCTCCCTACAGTTGATCAAGCACCTATTTATGGATAAAATCATATAACTACGTAATTTTTTAAATTCCAATGTATAAATACTTACAATCCTGCAAAACAAAGCAAACAAAAGCATACAGCAAAATAAAACAAATCAAAACAACAATAGCAATAATAATAATAATAGTAATAGTAATAATAATAATAACAATAGTAACAAAGAAAGGGAAGTAACAACAAAACAACAACAATAATGTACTACTACTACTACTACTACTACTACTAATAATAATAATAATAATAATAATAATAATAATAACAACAACAACACCAATAGCAACAAATACAGAAAGGTAATTTTCGCCGCTGGACATCCACGCAACAAGTCCCACAACAGCAGAAACCGCCTCGTTAAATCGTTACATAGCATTAAACAACCCTTATGAATCCCAAATCAATAAAACACACACACAGTAAAAGAAACCATTCATCCACCTCTTCAAAATTACACCCAAAACACCCCAAAATACAGTGATAAATAACGAAAAAACTCATAATACAGAAGAGAAGCGAGGATGACCTTGAGTGCCAGGAGATGCCAGCAGTAAAAGCGTCGCTGTTGATATCACTATGCTGCTGTGTGGAAACCTCATGCTGGAGGTGCTATGCTGAAGGGAATAAACACCTTTTTTGTGAACGTTTACAATAAGAGAGGCAGGCTTTCAAAACACTTTTTTTTCTTTCTTTCTTTTTCAGTTTCTTTCACTTCTTTCTCTTTACTGTCCTGTGGGGAAACCTCATGTCGACGACGCAGTTCTGTACGAAATAACCTTCTTTGAAAGTTTACAATGAGATGCTTCTTTTCTTTACACTTTTTTTTCTCTCTTTTTTACACTTTACAACACACTTCTATTCTGTCTGGGGGAGAAATGGATAGTTAGGGATTAGAGAAGATATGTTTTTGTGAATATTTAGACAAGGGTTTTAGCGGTATGTGGGTTATTTTCCATGTAGTGAAGTGTGTGAAGGAGAGAGAGGTCACAAAATAGACTACCGTTGGGTGAGGTTACGTTCAGACTGCTGGTGATGGACATGCTAAGTCATCGTTACGCTGATAAGTACATAGTCGCATTTATTTTATCTATTTGAATAAATCAGAAAAAAAACCTATTTGATTAAACTGTATTTGGACAGTAATCACAACTTAAATAGATTTACTGCTAATATGCTAATCGTGCAGTGTGCGATGAGTAATTACATAAGCATATTTCACCTAATTAAACGCATCTAAATGCAGATTTTGCGAATAAATGCATTGCCAATTTACGTTTTATATCGTGATATGTAGATGTTGATGTATTAATAGATTCATGGTTCAATTTATAATCTTTGAACTACAGAGAGACGAAATATTCAGACACATTTAAAGTTATTCAGGAGAA